GGGGGGGCACTGGGGAATCCAGGGGAGGTTATAATGGCGTCAATGATGACATGAAGCCCTGCCCCTCCCCTGGCACCTTCGGCTGCTAACGCTCCCAGCTCCATGGCCCAGTCCAGCCCCGGGGGAGGCCAGTCGCTGTGGCTCATTCATCTCTCTGAGGCTGCCAGGGAAGGGGCTGGCTGGTGCCAGGGGGATGGGGTGGGCATCTGGGCTCAGACTCACCCAGCTCCACACCCCAGGGTGCTCTGGGTGGCAGCAGGGCTCCCGAGGAGGCAGGTGCTGTCTGGGCAAACGTGCCCCACACTGCACCAGGCAGGGAGAGGGGAATGGCCCTGGGCCTGCCCCACCCTGGGGAACCGGCTGTGCTTGCTGGCCCAGTGGGGAGCATCGCCAGAGAGGCTGGTTCAGGCCCAGGTGCACACAGGAAGCACCCGCCCTTCCCACCCCCAATGCTAATGGGGCAGCAGGGCCGGGCAGCTCCCAGAACCTGTCCTGAGCCAGGGGCCTGGGGCCGTCTAGGCTGAGGCCTGAACCCCACTAATGGGCTACACCCCTAATCTGGGGTGGGGGGGCCTAGCAGACAGATGGACTGATCCCCGCCCTAGGGGCTCCTGGCCATGTCTCTTCTGCCTTTGGCTGGTGACCACCCGCGGCTGCCTGGGCTCTGCCCTGCGGCCATGGGAATCCGGGTCCGGCTGCCTCCCCAGTTCCCTGCCCATCCAGACACCGAACCCCACTATTCCTTGGCACTTGCCTCATTGCCGTGTGGCCAGGGTGACCTTCCCCGGGAGGCACTGACTGTCCCACAAGCTGACCCAGCCCCCCACCCCCAGGAACCCTCACTGGACCTGATCCAACAGGCCCCTGGCCTGGGAGCAGATCTCTCCCTGAGACGCTGCGCTTGGGAGAGTGAAGGTTTTAGAGAAACCAGCTGGACCCAAGCAGAGTAGGTACAATGGAGGGCGAGTCCCTCCCCAGCTCTGCGATGCCCCTCAGTCCTGACCCGCAGCCCCCTGCTACCACAGACCTCGGCCCCTCCCCACCCCCAGCTCTGCCGATGCCCCTCAGTCCTGACCCGGAGCTCCCCTGCAACCCCAGACCTCGGCCCCTCCCCACCCCCAGCTCTGCCGATGCCCCTCAGTCCTGACCCGGAGCTCCCCTGCTACCCCAGACCTCGGCCCCTCCCACCCCCAGCTCTGCGATGCCCCTCAGTGCTGACCCGCAGCCCCCTGCAACCCCAGACCTCGGCCCCTCCCCACCCCCAGCTCTGCGATGCCCCTCAGTGCTGACCCGGAGCTCCCCTGCTACCCCAGACCTCGGCCCCTCCTGAGCAAACACCACCGACTGTGCCAAACCGTGCTGCACCTCGGCTGAGACCCACCAAACTCATTTCATGTGACCCAGCTGGGGCTGGTGCACCAGCCCACGGAGCATTAACCCTTTACCTCCCTCCTCCCCAGGCACAGCTTCCCACTGTCCTCTCAGGGGCTGAGTGCCTCGCTCTCCATCCACTGCCCCGTTCCCTGGGCTGCAGCCCTGTGTGTGGGTGGGAGAGGGGGCGAGAACAGGCCTGAGGCTTCTCCAGTCTGGTGAGTGCTGCTGAAAGGATGCCCTGTTCTGGCTGGGCATGGGCGAAGGCCTCGTTTAACCCCTCGGGCACCATGGCACTCTGCACAGCCCCCTCCGCTCCAGCAGAACAAACAGTTTGGCTGCCCTTTACCCCTGGGCCTAGGCACTGAGGTTCCCACGGACTCCCGGCATGTGTCTGGGGACTGATCCCCAGTGGGGGAGAGGGGCTGTGGGGGGAAAGAGAGGCAGATGGTCAGGCACCATGTCCTAGGAGCGAGCGGCCCATCAGCCTGCGCAGTCATCTCCCCGAGGGGCGGGTGGGGACCCCACATGAGCTAGCTGCTAGAGGCATCGAGGCCCCGAGGCATACACAGGACGGAACAATCCTGAGGTCTGTCCCATCTGCAGGGCCCTCGCTCCGACCTCCTGGCACGGCCAGAGCTCCGTCCTGCAGACACCCGATGCTAGGCAGCCCCATGGCTTGATCTGGCCGGAGCAGGAGCCGGGATGGGGTGGGCTTGTGCCCTGCCCTCACAGGGGGCTGGACTTGATGCTCTTGGGGCTGTTCCTATGACCTGTGAGGGGCAGGAGCCTGGATGCAGGGCTGGTGGCTGGCTTGTGCGATGGAGCTGGGAGCCTGGCTGGGGCAGGCTGGCATGCGCCGTGACTGCAAACCCTACTCTGGGCCAATGCCGCAGCTCGTGAGGCAGCCTCCCCGGCTCGCAGGGTGCATTCCAGGCCAGGCGCCACATCTGGGCATAGACACCGTCCCAACCCCCCTGCCTGTCCTGGCCATGAGACTGCCCTTCTCCCACCCAGGCACGGCAGGCTGGCCACTGTGGGCATGGAACAAAGCAGGGCTCTGAGCGCCTGCCACCGAGCTCCGGGATGGAGAGCACAAGCCCGGCATTGTGGATGCCCAGGGTTCCTGGGCACAGCTGCAGCAGGGAGGGGGGTCAGGAAGCGGTGGGGAGGGTGGCTGGGAGGTTTCCTGCTCCTGGCCTCCTTAAGATGGGGAGTTCTCCAGGGCTGTAGATTACCCCAGCCCTTAGCGCTGACCCCCTGCACTGCACAGACAGAAGGGGCAAGGCTCCCCCCAGGTCCATCGCCTGCTCCTGCCACCCCGCCTCGCACCCACCTACCCTTCTGCACCTCTCCCACCCCTCCGCTGTCGCTCTTGCTTTAACTCTGCACGTGCCAGTGGCAATCCCTCTGAGAGTCCCAGGGAGCCAGCCGGGCACCGTCCGGCCCAGGGAGCCAGGGGTTAATCTCAGGCTGTATGGCAGGTGTCTGCGAGTCTGTTCCAATGACCTTTTTCCCCCCACCTCCCATTTCATTTCAAGTCCTTCAAGCTCCAGCTTTGAAGTGAAACGACCCAAACAACCCCACCAAACCCGCGGCGGCGGTTTATGAAAAATCTTGGCTCTTTGCTCTCCCTTTAATCAGCGACGGCCCTCGGTGTGAGGCCCGCAGCAAGAACAGCCCTGAAGCATGCCAGTGCCATGCGCCCGCTGTCCCTGCAGCCTGGTTCCTGGCTAGGATCTCCAATACTAGCAGCATCTTGCTTTTCACTTTTCCTAGAAACGCTGGAGATGGATGGGGAATAAGATCTGACTTCCCACTGGATCATTTCATCCCTAAGGGAGACGTTCACCCCGTGCGAAGGGGCTGGCGGCACAAGTCCCACTTAAGCTCTGGATGAAGTTGACAAAGTCTGTGTATGGGCCACTTAAGTCCCATTTAAGACCAGAGTTTAAGTGGGACTGGCGTGGTGTGTAACCTTGTACTGACCCTCACCCTCTCAGTGCCTGGCAAACTAGAGGCAGGGATCATTTCCTGCTGTCGCTAAAATGCAGCCACCTCTGGGGTGGAACGAGTGGCAGCTCTTTAACAGCTACAGAGCAATGCTACCCAACAGTTTGGGACAATGAATGAAGGTAAAGCCTGCAACAGGTTTGATAACCGGACAAATGGGTGCATTTTACAGACAGGAGACTCCACCATGATGGTCTGTAAATTTTTGCACCTTGTAACGATACAGTAGATGAA